TAACTTGTGCCCAAGAAACCCCACGTGCTCTTCTTTGTTAAAATACAGAGTCCTGGGCCCCAATACAGCTCTCTCCGTTTAAAATCTCCAGAGTGATTTGAAATCAAGTGTCACAGCTGCGAACACCCTGCTTCTGGAAGAACCAGCAGGTATCAGATAGACCTGGAAGGATCCTGCAGTGAGACCAAGGACTCTGCTCTGCCAACTCGGTTAGGTTCCAAGCACAAGGCAGTCACCCGAATACTAGCAGAAGTGCGGCGCAAGGCCGATGGCGAGTGTTCCCGCCATCTGAGGGACCCTTCCTAGTACGCTTCAGATCCAGTAACTTCAAGACCATCGCGAGTGAAAGGAGGCGCTGGCTCCGAATAACTAAGCGGAAACCCGGCAGAAGTCAAAGCCCTAGCCCCAGGATCAGCCCGCCCACGTCCCTCTGCCAACCCACAATCAACCCTGCGGCCACCGGTTACCGGGAACCTGCACCGGCTGTGCGCACACGGCCCACGCCCGCCAACGACAGTTTTCATTAGTGGTTCTTAGGAGCCAGTGTTAGTTACGAGGACCCGGAGGGAGTCACCTATAGCCAGGGGGACCTCACTGGTCCCGCTCCACCGGGGCAGGGCTGAACAGGGACTCTAAAAAGAGCCGCGTGGACTGTGCGGCCCCTAATCTCCGGGGACATCAGCAACACGCAGAGCGGCTCCCCAGACCCGGAGGGCCAGCGTGAAGCGTGCATCGCGGCCGCGCGTGGGACCTCCGTGGAACCCTCAGGCTACGCGAAACTACAGGACCAGGCCGCATACAGAGGCCCAGCCCGAGCCTGCGCTATCCCACCTCCCCCGCGAACCTCACACATCCGGCGCCAAAAACCCCAGTACCACTGCGCAGGCGCCAGGAATACTGGCCGCGCAGCTACGCTCGGGACCCGCGCGTTCACAGCCAATCAAACCGTGCCTGCACAAAGCAAGTTCCGGCTCCAGCGAGCCAGCACCTGGTCCCTCCCCTTCCTCCGCCTGCCTGGCTGGACCCCCACGCCTATGCCCCGCCCCATTCCGTCCTGGATTAGATTCACGATTGGCTCAAAGGAGGACGCGAGCTCTGGTTGGCTGAGTCATGGTCACGAGGTCGCTGTCGTCGCCTTTCCAGAGGCGATTACTGGGCAGGCTCAGTCTTTCGCCTCAGTCTCCAGCTATAGCTGGCTGCCAGGCGTACGCGCTCCTGCGTCTTCAGTACTCGCGGCCGCCATCTACGGCACTTACATTTCCCCTAGGCTTATCTGCACCACTCGCCCGTCACACACTCCGCCACTGTAAACCACCATTATGGTGAAGCTCGCAAAGGTAAGGGATCCTATGTGCAGACACAGACGCCAAGGCCTGCTTTCCAGGGAACGCGCGCGCGGCGTCGCGGGCCTGCGCTCCGTGCGGGTGCGTTCGGGGGCGCCATGCTGTGGGAAGTCTCGCGCGACTAGCGGGAGGTCTCGCGGCGCTGGCTGCTGGACGAGATGGGGCGTTAGGGAAGACTCGCGGGGTGGCTGACGAGGAGGGGGACTTGAGTCCTGCGCGGGGGGGCGGGAGCGCTGTCCTCTGCATGAGGATGAGGTAGAAAGCCCGCGACGGGTGGTTGAGGTCCCGCCTCCTGGCGCACGTGCCTCGGCGCGCGGCGCGCCACGTGGGTCCTCTTCGAGGGCCGGGGGTCCTCGGCGGACTTCGGGACAGCGGGGCTGGCCTGTGGGGGACGCGGCGGGCTCGGGACTCTCCGTGGGGCCTGGTGGCCCGGCACGTGGTGAGCTCCAGGGGGAGGCGCTGGCACATGGTGTCGACCTGGCACCCCACGTGGTCCCACTGGGCCTGGCTGAGGCGGGGTGCTGCGCCCGGGGAGGCAAACTTAGCAGAAAACCAGAAGTAGTTCACGCAAGTTTTTAAAGGTGCCCTAAGGATCTTATAATTTGAATTGAGGCTAGAAGGGCCAGTGTGTACTTGAAGGCCGGTTAGGTCAGTCGTGGTGGTGCACGCCTGTAGTCTCAGCCCTGAGAGGCTGAAGCCCGTGAATCTCCACGAGTTCGAGGCCAACCCGGACTATGTAGTGAGAACCTATCTCAAAAAACAGACCAAAAAAAGGATACTATTAATTAGAAAAAGTTATTCTGCATTTACAGGCCACTAATTATTAAAAGTTATGCATAACGTCATGAATTACTCTGTATCTATATTATGGTTTTTTTTTTTAATTTTTTAAGCTGCTTTTATATTTAAGTGTGATAACAGTATAGGAAGGAAAAAGGTTACTTTTTCTGTTCGGTTGGTTTTTTTGGTTTGGAAAGCCTACCTGGAAAAACACCTGCACTGCCAACAGGAATAGCCTTTACCTCTGCTGTGGAAAGCAGATTTTAGGAGACGAGAGGTTTGTACAGTATTGTACTCTCGGGAATCGTGGCAAAATGTGAGTGGTCGGAAATGTGGGTGGAGATAATGATTTGTCCATTTTTAGGCTGGTAAAAATCAAAGTGACCCCAAGAAAATGGCACCTCCCCCAAAGGAGGTAGAAGAAAGTGATGATGAGGAAATGTCAGACGATGAAGATGACAGCAGTGGAGAAGAGGTAATTACATCCAGTTTAATGGAAAGTGGTAAAAGTGGAATTTATTCATGTTTGACCAATTGTAAGGTGTGAATGACAAGCATATCATTAAACGTGGGTAGGATTTGAGGGGCTGGGGATTTAGCTCAGCGGCATAAGCGCCTGCCTTGTAAGCAGGCAGTCAGGAGTTCGATCCCTGGTACCAATAAAAAAGGAAAAAGACAAAAAAAAAAAAAAAAAACGGGTAGGATTTGAATGCAAGTTTTGAGATAAGTGATCTGGGAAGGTGCCTCCCCCCTTTGCAGAGACTGATGGGATAAATCAGATTTCTTTTTTTTTTTTTTAATTTTGAAGTAAGTGTCTCACACTAAGATGGGGCCAGGGATTTAGTTCAGTGGCATAAGCTCCTACCTGGCAAGCTCGAGGTCGTGAGTTTGATCCCGGTTCTGAAAAAAAAAAGTGTCTCACTAAGTTAGCCCAGACTGGCTTTGAACTTGGTAATTGATTCTCCTGCTTCAGCTTCCTGAGTAACTGAAACCCCATCTAGCCTTTTTATCTCCATTTTTAATAGCTTTGTCTTGCCATACATGCTCAGGAAAAGACCAGTTTTATGAAAGGATTGAGCATTTTTTTTTATCAAGTTACTAGGTCATCATCTACTGTAAATTTTGTATCTGATCTGCTTATGAAAGTCTTCAAATTAAGGAGGTTTTTGTTTTTGTTTTGTTATGTTTTGTTTGGTACTGGGGATGGAACTTGAAAACTCCATGCTTGCCAGGCAGGTGTTTATGCCACTGAGCTGAAAAGACAGTAGCTGGGTATGGTAGTGCATGCCTATACTTCCAGCACTTTGGAGGCTGAGGCAGGAGGACCTCCTTGAGTTAAGAGGTCAGCCTGGACTACTAGCAGGATTCTTGTCTCAGAAAAAGTTTTAACTTGTAATGTTTTTGAATAGTTTTTTATATTTACTCACAATTCTGAACACAGTGTGTTAAATTGCTGTTTTATCTTTTTTTACATAAGAGTTGAAATTGAAGGATGACACGCAGGAATTGGGGAGGGTTTGATTCAGAGGGATTTCAGGTGTTGGGGCTTGGCCTGTGTGGGGGCTGCATGCTGGTGAGGGCTTAGGCCTATAGAAAGATGGCAAATCCAGCTTTAGTTGAACATGTGTTTCATGTGTATTGTCTTCAACTACAGAAAATGCTGGAGTCAAACAAGTCTTTGGGACCCAGGCTGTGTTTTGGGATATAGGAAAATATTTACTTTGTTTTTATTTATTCTCAAGGTTGTCATCCCTCAGAAGAAAAGCAAGAAGGCTGCCGTGACTCCAGCAAAAAAAGCAGTGGCTTCCCCAGTGAAAAAGGTTGCAGTTGCCACACCTGCCAAGAAAGCAGCTGTCACCCCAGGCAAAAAGGCAGCAGCAGCCACACCAGCCAAAAAGACTGTGACACCTGCCAAGGCAGTTGTAGCACCTGGCAAGAAGGGAGCTGCGCTCGGCAAAGCTGTCGTTGCAACCCCAGGGAAGAAGGGCACTGTCACCCCAGCCAAGGGGGCAAAGAATGGCAAAAATGCCAAAAAGGAAGACAGCGATGAGGATGAAGAGGACGGTGACAGCGATGAGGAAGATGATGATGAGGAGGAGGAGGAAGAGGAAGATGAGGAATTTGAGCCAAAAGTGATGAAAGCAGTAGCTGCAGCCCCTGCCTCAGAAGACGAGGATGAGGACGATGACGATGATGATGATGATGAGGAAGAGGATGACGATGATGATGAGGATGATGGTGAGTTCCCTATCACTCATAGGCTGGTTTGCAGGGCGTCTTGATGCCAAGTTCAGTGGTGCTAACCTGGGTTTAGGTTAGACTTGTACCCAAGATCCTCTGGCCTTTCTTCTTGCCCCTCTGGGTAAAGGTTTCCCGCAGTGCTTCCTGGGAGGCCATGATCAGGGCGGTCTCCCAAGACTGACTGTTTCTCTTCTAGACTCTGAAGAAGAAGCAATGGAAACCACACCAGCCAAAGGGAAGAAAGCTCCTGCAAAAGCTGCCCCTGTGAAAGCTAAGAGCATGGCTGAGGAGGAGGATGATGACGAGGATGACGATGAGGAGGATGAGGATGAGGATGATGAAGAGGATGAAGATGAGGAAGAGGAGGAGGAGGAGGAAGAGGAGGAAGGTAAGCAGACTTGATTCTGAAGTGCCTTGACCTGAGCTGTGAGTAAAGGAGGTACTTGGTTGGCATCTGTGGATGTGTGCGAAATGACGAGTTAACTGAAATTTTGTGCAGAACCTGTCAAAGAAGCACCTGGAAAACGAAAGAAGGACATGACCAAACAGAAGGCAGCTCCTGAAGCCAAGAAACAGAAAATGGAAGGTAACTGCAGGGCCTGGGGTGGCCAGGTGAGCGGGTGAGAGCTGAGGGGTGGCGCAGAGGATGAGTGACACAGGGACTTAATGCTGAAGGCTGATGTGACTGCAGGGTACTGATGCGCCGTGGGCACATGCTGTGGTGAGGACTGATTTGTACTGTGCATCACACTGATGGGTTCCTTTTTGGTTCACAGGCACAGAACCAACTACAGCATTCAATCTCTTTGTTGGAAATCTCAATTCTAGCAAATCTCCTTCTGAATTAAAAACTGGTATCAGTGAAGTTTTTGCTAAAAATGACCTCACTACTGTGGATGTCAGAATTGGCACAAATCGGTAAGTGTTTTGTAGCTTGTTATCTGTAAACATGAATGTAAACAACTTAAAAATTAGGTGTTAATGACTTAAATCATAGCATCAAGTTATGGAACCCCCAAATCTGAATTTCCCATAATCAGCCTTTACTCTTGGTGTAGCCCAAAGTAATTTCTAACAGCGGTTTTAAGAATGGATTGTGTGTTCCTGGAAATACCTGGAAGTGTTACCCCCAAGTTATCAGGTTGGTGGAACGGCTCCTAGGCAGACAGGGCTCTCCAGTCTGTGCTTAAACACTTTGCTTTGGTCAATGCTAACACCTTAAGTTATGGCGCTGCCAGACCTCAAAGGTGAGTTTGCCCAGTCACTTTGGGGACTTAGGCCTTGTTTGCCAGGCCAAATTTGCAGAGCCTTGACTTAATGCCAGGGCCAGTGAGGGTGTTTCCTGGTGGGCAGCATCATGTCAGCGCAGGCTGTATGTGCAGGGTTTGTTTGCGGGGGTGCTTTGTTTCCCACTTGTGATTTTGTGCTCTCCACTGTGAAGGAAGTTCGGCTATGTAGACTTTGAATCTGCTGAAGACCTGGAAAAGGCCTTGGAACTCACTGGTTTAAAAGTCTTCGGCAGTGAAATTAAATTAGAGAAGCCCAAAGGAAAAGACAGCAAGAAAGGTATGTAAGGCTTCTGGGCATTACGGTACCATTGGGCGTTGCTTTCTCCTCTTGGGAATATGCACTGGCTTAGGGTTCACTGGAGTCACTGGTATTGTTAGGCTGGTGGCTGGGGGTGCTGGTACACACATGTCACCCCCCCCCTCCCTACCCCAGGAGCAGAAGCAGAGGGATCACTTAGGATGATTCTCCAAATTTAAAAAGGGCTGGTTATGTATCTCTAGTATCAAAAACACATTAAAGTGGTGAGCAGGAGAGGCCAGGGACATAGCTCAGGTGACAAAAGTTTCCTGCCTGGCAAGTTTGAGGTCATGAGCTTGATTTCCAGTACCAAAAAGAAAAAGTGGTGAGCAAGAAGTCAGTCTTGGGGCTGGGGGTTTAGCTCAGCGGCATAAGTGCCTGCCTTGCAAGCAGGCAGTCGTGAGTTCGATCCCTGGTACCAATAAAAAAAACAAAAAACGAGAAAGACAGCAAGAAGTCAGTCTCAAGCAGGAAGGAATAATAGATTAGTGTAATGTGCAGGACTCTGGTGTGTTTGGGCTTTGGAATATTTTAATTATGTGTATCAGATAATTTGGAGTTAGGTGTGATGGTACATTCAGGAGGCCAAGTCAGAATCACCTCAGGTGTAAGGCCAGCCAGGGCTATACAGTGAGTTGAAAGCCACCCTGGGCTGAAAAGCAAGACCCTATAGGAAAAAAAAAAAAAAACAACAGACACAGATATTTTACTTAGCAGTGCTTATGTTGAGTTAAAGTGATCTATATTAATATAAGTGTTTCTGACAATATGTATTATGTTCCTGGTTACTGTTTGTATAGTTTACTTTGTGCTATAGAGGGGCGGGTATTTTTTTTTTTTCAGTATGATGTACCCTTAAGAGGGGCAGGTTTTAAGTTACATGTTCATGAGTGATGCTAAAGATTGAACCCAAGGTCTTGTGTGTCTAGACAAGCACTGTACACTGACCTGCATCCCAGGGTACCCCATCCCTCTTTTGGAGACAAGGTCTTCCTGGATTACCTAGGCTGGTCATACACTTTATCCTCATGCTTTGGCCCTGAGGTGACTGAGGTTAAAGGTGCGTGCCAACGGTTCCCCTATTGAAAGATCTTAGAACCTGCCTGAGGTAGGCCCTGTTTTAAATGGTGGGCACATGTGGCCACAAGCTGTGCAGGCTTGAGGGGCCCAGGAGATCGTTACTGCTGTGGCTTTATACTTGGAGGCCTTGTGCAGAAGAGAATCCTCTGTTGGATGCAAGTGTGGGTTTTTTTTCCTGCATTCTGTGCATGTAGTTCATTGTCTTGTTTTTTAAAATCTAGATCGAGATGCAAGGACACTTCTGGCCAAAAATCTCCCTTACAAAGTCACTCAGGATGAATTAAAAGAAGTGTTTGAAGACGCCCTAGAGATCAGACTAGTCAGCAAGGACGGGAAGAGTAAAGGGTGAGTTCTGTGTCGGAGAAGGAAGAAATACATTAGTGTCAAGGTGCTGTGTCCTTTTGGAAGAAATGTGGGTCTGTTACCTGGTTGTAGGGTCTGGGTCGTTTCACGTAGCATTAAAGAGTAACGTTAAAAGGTGAATTTAGGGGCTGGGGATTTAGCTCAGCGGCATAAGCGCCTGCCTTGCAAGCAGGCAGTCGTGAGTTCGATCCCTGGTACCGGTAAAAACGAAAAAGACAAAAAAAAAAAAAAAAAAAAAAAAGGTGAATTTAGAAAAAGCTAAAACGTGAGCTGGGCATGGCAGGGCACGCCTGTAATCCCAGCACTCAGGGAGGCGGAGTCAGTGGGATTGTGGTGAGTTCAAGGCCAGCCTGGACTGCAGAGTGAGACCCTGTCTCAAAAAGACAAAAAAAAAAAAAAAAAAAAAAAAAAGGTGCGGGGCTCCCAGAACGTGGGAGGCTGAGGCACGAGGGTCCTTGTGAATGGGTTTGAGTCCATCTTGAATTATGTAGTAAGACCTTATCTCAAAACAAAATGATGAATTACAGTGTGGAAGATACTCCTGCCTTCCAGTAAAAGCTGCATGTGGTCATTTATATTAATGTTTTTTTCTGTTGCAGGATTGCTTATATCGAGTTTAAGACAGAAGCTGATGCAGAGAAAACCTTTGAAGAAAAGCAGGGAACAGAGATTGATGGGCGATCTGTTTCTCTGTACTATACTGGGGAGAAGGGTCAAAATCAGGACTACAGAGGCGGGAAGAACAGCACCTGGAGTGGTGAGCAGCCTCTAGCCGGGCAGGAGCACTCAGGGCTCATAGGCAAAGTCCTGGGCTCTCAGCCATTGTTCTCATGTTCACTGTGTCCTCTGTGTATTTGCAGGTGAATCCAAGACTCTGTATTTAAGCAACCTCTCCTACAGCGCAACAGAAGAAACTCTTCAGGAGGTATTTGAGAAGGCAACTTTCATCAAAGTGCCTCAGAACCAAAATGGCAAATCAAAAGGGTAGGTACTTGTGTGTCCTAGGGAAGGCGATGTGTGCCTGAGGAGCCAGTGCAGGGTGGCGCTCGGCTGACTGTTGTGTTACCCCGCGTTCAGGTACGCCTTCATAGAATTTGCTTCATTTGAAGACGCAAAAGAAGCTTTGAACTCCTGCAATAAAAGGGAAATTGAGGGCAGAACGATCAGACTGGAGCTGCAAGGACCCAGGGGGTCGCCTAATGCAAGAAGCCGTGAGTCCCACAGCAGATGTTGGGGGCGGGCTTGTTCAGTTTCCTGGAACTTGTGTCAGTGCTTTCCCCACAAATCTTGGGGTGATTCTTCTTGCTGTTCCTGCTGAGTGACAACTGGATATGATGACTGATTACCTGAGAAAAAGACTTGATGAAATAAATTTCAAGAAAATTCCTCTAGATAGTCAAGTTCTGATCCAGTCATGTCACCCCAGAGCCGTGAGTCTGCTGCTGACCATCTCTGCTGGACACTGCCTCTGCTTTCTGTAAAAGACCCAAGGCAGGAGCTTAGGTAGCAGTACTAGTAAGGTTGAAGAAAGCAAGGCATGGTGTGGGCTCATAATGTCAGCACTGAAGGAGGCTGAGGCAGGAAAGTCATAACTTCAAGAACTGCCTAGGCAATTGAGGGCCTGGGTGTAGCTGGGCAGTAGAGCCCCATGTTCTACTCCTGCTACCCAAGTAAGAATGGTTATTTGTGCAAGTCTTTGCTTTAGTTAAGCATTGGGTGTTGGCTCACTTATAGTCACTCCTGCTGAAGCAGGTGTACTGTCTGGTGGTAGTCTTGACTGTAGATTGTTGTTTCACATAGCACCATCTTTACTTTTCTTCCCCAGAGCCTTCTAAAACCCTGTTTGTCAAGGGTCTTTCTGAGGAAACCACTGAAGAGACCTTAAAGGAGTCATTTGATGGCTCTATCGGGGCGAGGATAGTCACCGATCGGGAGACTGGCTCCTCCAAGGGGTAAGCCTAGTTGGGTAGGCAGGCAGGGGGCATGAGTTCCTTGGCCCTGGCACCTTCTCACTGAGCTCCTGTCTGTCACTGATGGCAGTCTTGGATTCGCACGAGAAGAACAGCACTGCACGGAGCCGGTGCTGCTGTAGCCTCTGTTTCATTGGAGGTGTGCATACCTGGCTGCTCTGTGGACAAATACGTGTTTAAATATGGTGACATGGTGGGGCTTCCTGTACTGCTGTCGCTTGCCTGTCCCTTTGAGCATGGCCCCTTCGGTGGTGTTCCCATGACACAAAGCTTGTGTGTGCATGCATGGTCACAGTCCTGTCGCTTGCCTTTCTTTCCAGGTTCGGTTTTGTAGACTTCAACACTGAGGAGGATGCCAAGGCTGCCAAGGAGGCCATGGAGGATGGGGAAATTGATGGAAATAAAGTCACCTTGGACTGGGCCAAGCCCAAAGGCGAAGGCGGCTTTGGAGGCCGTGGAGGTGGCCGAGGCGGCTTTGGAGGCCGGGGTGGTGGCAGAGGTGGCCGAGGCGGATTTGGAGGCAGAGGCCGGGGAGGCTTTGGAGGTAAGGGACACCACCTACCTGCTGCCCTGGGAAGGCTGGCTGCTTTGCCACTTACTCACTGTCCCTTTCCTCCTGCAGGACGAGGTGGCTTCCGAGGAGGCAGGGGAGGAGGTGGAGATCACAAGCCACAAGGGAAGAAAACAAAATTCGAGTAGGCCCTTCTGTCCATCTGTCTGTGTTCATTGGAAAGCAAGGACTCTGGGTTTCCCTGTTACCTGGCACTGCCAGAGCCTTCTGAGGACATTCCAAGCCTGTGTGCTTCCTGTGGTCCCTCGGGAGTGTAGCCATGCCGTTCAGGAGCGATGTACCCGATGTACCCTATTGGTTTTGACTGGAGATTCATAAACTTTTTAAAGAGATGAGTGATAGCGCTAACCCTGATCTGTAAGTTGCGAGTTTATATTGTTCCATGCCATGTACAAAACCATTTTTTCCTACAAATAGTTTTTTCTGTGTGTGTTGGGGGGTATAAAGGAAAGCAGAATGTTTTATTTTATTTTATTTGCTTCAGTGGTTTTAGGACAAATTAAAAGTCCTAAACTCTGGTGTCAGGCTTATTAAAAAAGTGTCTATGCTGGGTGCCACTGAAGAAGATGGCACAGCCAGCTCTGCCACCCAGCCCTGCCTTACCTGGTGACAAGGTGTGACCGAGTAGAGGCGCCAGTCGCTACACACTGGATGCATGAAGCCTGTGGGTACAGAGCCTCCGCCAAGAGCAACCTCTACCAAGTGCATCCTGACTGCCCTGCGAGTCCTGCTCCAGCTTCCAAGCTGGAAACCACTGAGGCTGTAGAAGCGGGGGTGGGGGTGGTGTGTGTGTGTGTTTGCGCGTTCAAAGCTGTTTGGAATTCACTCAGGTAGCCAGGTCTGGAACCTTTAGGGGATCACACCAGGGAGCTGGTGGTTGACAGAGCAGCTGTGTCCTGAGCCCAGGTCGGATTCCATAGCTGCTGTGCCAAGCAGATACCCAGTAGGTCCACAGTGCCTTGACCTGCATCCAGGCCAAGGGGAGCAGGGTGCTTGCAACTAGCAGGCGGGTGTATTGTGCAAGACTAAGCAAGGGGGTGCTAGGGATGAGTGCTTAGTCCTTCCGGGCTCCGCTGGGGCTGTGAGGGTCACTGCAGCCAGAGACCTGACACTTGTGACCTAAAAGTTCTGTGGTTGTGTCTCAGCTCTTTGAGCAGGTGTTGGAGTCAGGGGCTTGGCCCTTGTGCAGAGCTCACTCCAGCCCCACTAGTGAGGACCCCACTCAGCAGGGCCCCATAGGGGTGGTTTGGTGTTTAGTTTGTGAGACAAGATCTCACTATGTATAGTTCAGGCTGGCTTTGGACTCAATATGAAAGTCAGGCTGGCCTCAAACTCCTGGCAATCTTTCTGCCTCAGCTTCTCCAGCACTGGGGTTACAGACACCTAGCAGGGTTGGTTTGAAAGGCCTGAATCATGACTTGAGTCAGGACTTCTAACCCCAACCCCGTGCCCTCTTTCAGGTTCTTAGAGTTGCTCTGTCCCAGATATAAAAGCACTGGGGCTACAGTGAGGCTGAGTACCTCTCCAAGTTGGGCTTTGGAGACGACTGGGAAGGGAGGAAGACCACAGGGGCGGGAAGAAAGGAACCCTAAAGCCATCGGGGTCCGTTGTGGCCTCAACTCATTACTAAGGCTTCAACAAGGTGCTGTTCTTCCTGCTGTGCGGATGGCAGGCAGGCTTGCTGGGGGGGGGTGCAGTGGGTATACAGCGGTTGGGTGGGGGCCAGTGTCCCATAGTTCTCTGCCTCAGCCCCGCTGACAGTGTCTGCAGCCATCTTAGAAAAGCAAGACCAGGCAGCAAATGGTCGTCGACACTTCTGTCATTTTTCCAGCAGGTGGCAGCATGAGGCCAGCGCTGGGGAAGAGAAGGCTGGAGGTAACCCGGTTCAGCCTGTGGCTTGGGAGGAACAGGCCACTGTGCCCTGGCCTGGTGTCCAGGTGGGACCTGTGACAAACGGGTTTTTCACCATTTCGGGCAGAGTGTGTTCAGTTCAGGCTGGCCTCACCCTCCCCAGCACAGGAAATGTAGCATGTGGCGCCATGTCCAGGCTGAGGCCTTGTGTCTTTGTCATGGGCACCGTGTGTCCTGGAGAAGCAGCAATCTTGCCTTAGCCTCCAGAATACTGGAATTAGTGGACTGTGACACCTGACCCAGCCTCTGGTTCCCTCCAGTGCCTGAGACCAGAGGGTGCCAGCCTCTAAGCCTCTGGGCACTCTGCTCTCCTTTCCTCGGGAGTGTAAAAGGTCAGAGCTTGGCAGCAGGCTGGGGCCACCCGATGAACAGAGGCCAAAGAGTGGGGGAGGGGTGACTGGGGTGTTGGCTGGCATGTCCTAAGCTCAGCTGAAGGCTAGACTGAGTGGGAGGTGTTGCAGGAACTCTGAGGGGCCTCCTGCACACAAGCGCCTGGGAGCAGCAGCAGGACGCCTTCCACTCTAAGCTGTCAGTTCTGTTTATGGGTGGGGGGGGCAGGATCTGTAGTGTGGGCTGGCCTTGAACTGGCAGCGATTCACAGAGCAGCGGTATACTAGTGTGGTCCCAGCTGCTTGGGAGGCGGAAGCATGCAGGGAGAAAAACTACAAAGAGGGCTACAATACTTAAATGACTAAACTCCGTATTTGAGATTATAATATAGACAATTTGATGTGTGTATGACATCTTTATTCTTTTAGTGTCCCTTCCCCTCCCCTCCATCTCCTGTTCCCCATTTATAAAGGCTTTACTTTTTTTTTTTTTTCAGTTTTCATAGTTACATTTTTTTTTTTTTTTGGTACCGGAGATCAAACTCCCAACCATGCACTTGCAAGGCAGGCACTTACGCTGTTGGACTAGATCCCCAGCCTTAAATTACTTTTTTGCCCTGTTCTTCCTCCCTCTTGTTCACCTTACCATTTGAAAAATCCTCACTTTTGTTCTCTGAGTTTTCTCGTAAGAGAACCCTATGATACTTAAACTTGTGTGTCTAATCTATTTCACTTAACATTACTGTCTCAAGGTGAATCCATTTTCCTACAGATGCTTTAAGTTTATACTTCATGGCAGAGTACTACACCATTGTATGTAAATACTGTCTTTGTGTTAGAGTCTTACAGTGTAATCCAGTTTGGCCTTGAACTCAACAGTCCTCTTGCCTCTGCCGATCAAGCTGGGATTACAGGCATGCACCACTGTGCCCTGTTAGCACCACCTTTTCTTTATCCACTCACCTGCTTCTGAGACTTGGGTATCATGAATCATCTTAATAGAAGCATGGGAATATGTGGACCACTGTACTGACATTGTCACTGTTAGGGAGCTACCCAGAAGAGAAATGGCTAAGTCAAATGGAGTTTCTCCTTTCAGTTTTTTGAGGAACCTCCGTACTGATCTATGTAGCAGTTGCGCTAGTTTCCACGCATGCTAACAGCCAGAGAGGTTCCTTTTCCCACAGGCTCACCAGCAGTTATTTGGTATCCTGAGGTCAAGCCTTTCTGGGGTGAGTTGGAATCAGTGTTTTAATGTGCATTTCTCTCATGGCCAGTGATGTTGGGCATTTTTTCATTTATGGGCCACCTATGCTCTTGAAGTGTCAGCGTTTGGTTGTCCAGTTATTGATTGGGTCCTTTTATTTTCCAGCAGGACCATGTCCTAAAAATAAAGGACAGGAGCATGGCAAAATAGAAACTCAAATGACTTGGGGAGGGGGGGGAAAGTGGTGCCTTACCCCTGGGCTTCACCCCAAGCACTGAAGGTGTTTTTAGGTCAGCTAACATGGATGGGTGAAGCTGGAGCAGGAGATCTGGATGCGAAGTAACCAAAGAAGGCCAGTGCCTAAGGGCAGCAAGCCTTGGTGCTGGAGGCTATAGGATCCTGTGCATGCATACATGCTTGTGTG